AAATGTAATAAAGTAGCTGTTTTCAATTTCTGATTTAACATATTGCTCCTCAATGATCTTGTATTCTGTGATTGGACTTCTTCGTCCCAGCCAATACTTAATAGTTCCTGGAATGGACTACAATCGGTAAACCATCTTCCCTCTATGATGAATGGCGGGCAAAGCACTCCCAAGACCTTCCATAAAAACATCCTGGTTAACGTTGAGGTCTATGTTTATTTCAGGGTCCTCTCGCACCCCAGACCAAAGCCTTTTCTTTATTTCACGAAATAGTTGACAGTGAAATGATTTTGTTCTATCCCGAAGTGATTTTTCCGATGGAATGAAAAGGTTTTCTTTACGAACGAACGGAAAATATTCAGATCCTTCATCGTCCCCGAAGGGTCTCCACTCATCGAAGCGAGTGCTGTAGCCAATATAGTGAATTTTCAATCTCTTGTTGGGTTAGTCAACCTCCGTGATTTCAATATCATACAGTTTTGTATCTTTTTTCCGTGTATTGACCTTTTTAACGGGGGTGTATGCTGAGTATTCGTTGCAGAATCGCTTTGGTTCTTTTATCTCTCTCTTTGGCCTGTCCGCCATTTTGAAAAATTGCACCGGGGAGCATGCGCATTACCTGAGGTTAGCGGCCGCGGCCGCCTGGAGCCGAGAAAAACAAATGTCCGCCGCATTGAGGAAAGAGTTTGATATGATGCTTTTGTTCGCTTCTTGTCAATATGCAAGCAATAAATTATGTTATCCCTTTAAAAGGACCATCGATAAAAGCCGGAATATGAAACATCCCGGAAAATCCCGGAACATCAAATATTAGAATGATTATATAAAAAAANCGCGGCCGCCTGGAGCCGAGAAAAACAAATGTCCGCCGCATTGGGGAAAGAGTTTGATATGATACTTTTGTTCGCTTCCTGTCAATATGCAAGCAATAAATTATGTTATCCCTTTAAAAGGACCATCGATAAAAGCCGGAATATGAAACATCCCGGAAAATCCCGGAACATCAAATATTAGAATGATTATAAAAAAAAAGTGTATATAGTTAAACAAAGCAAGAACCACGAAAGAGAAATGAGTAAATCAATCAATCAATCAATCAACAAAAATAACTGGTATCAGCTCCGAATACGTAAGAAACGAAAAAAAACAAAACAAAACAAAACAAAAAAAACAATGCAACTGACTGCAATGAGTGAAGGCTCGCTACTTAAATATTTTAAAGATGATTTCCAGTCCGTATTGTGCAGTCACAGC